ATAAACAGACTGGCCAAAGTGGCAAGCTCAAGGGGTCAATAAGGGAACCAGCTTCAGTAAAGTGGAGAACAATTGAGGAAGACACCAAACGCCAACTTTCTGGCCTCCATTTGCACACACACCCAGGCGTACGCGCACCTACACACCGGCAAACAAGCAAACTCACATCCACACAATACCTGCACCCATAGCGCAAACACACATGCAAACAAGCCTACTCACACCCACACACACCCACACCATATGCTCACATACAGAAAATTTTCTTTCAACAAGTTAGTTCAGTCACTTTCCTTGTTTGTTAAGCTGAGGTACTTGCATCTGTCTGGCAAGGTAGCTCTGAAGATAACATTCATTACTGTACGGGAAGTTGCTCGAGAGGGTCCGGTCTCGCGGCGAACGCCGAATCCCTTTCGCACAAACCCACCGTAAGTTAGCCAAGGACAAATACCCCTGACACGGTGCAGAATCAAATGTTCTTTCGTTTGCTTGTTTGAGAGCCATTATTAAATGAGTTTCTACAAGCCTCTTCTAGCTGCAGAGAACAGACCAGATTTGCCTGCAGTCCTTTTAATCATCCTTGTGGTTCTTTACAGAACTCTCCCCAGTTTCTCAGAATTCCATGTCAATTGTGGCGACCACAGCTAGATTAGTCACCGTAGAGAACTCATTATAATTAAATCAACACTGAGCAGTCACTTGGGCGGCTGGCTCAGCCGTGTAAACCCAGTCAGCCAGTCCCCATCGACAAATGGCTTGTGTTCCAGGGCTTCATTAGTAAGTCGGTTGTTTGGAACACAGAAAGCCTTTCCCCATAGAAACAGAATTATAGATGGTGGCTTGTTTCCCAGGCCTGTGCACAAAAATCTGCTTAATGCACACGGAACAGAACCGGGGCCTGGCAAGGAGAGTCCCTCAAATGTTTGACCCGTTTAAGACCCATGGGACACCCAATTCAAAGGAGTGCCGAGGGCTGGCACCCAAACTTGAGCCCTGTAAGGGAGGTGGTGGTGGTGGAGCTGTGGCTACAGCTTCAGAGAGACAATCATTTGCAGAGGGATTTTAAGAATTCTCCTTGAACCCGTGATGGTGGCAAACACCTTTAATCCCAGTTCTGGGGAAACAGAGGCAGGCGAATCTCTGAGTTCAAGGGCAGCCTTGTCTAGAGAGCAAGTTCCAGGACAG